AAGTAAGTAAAAGGACTTAAGATATTAAATCTTGTTTTCTAAAAAATAAAATAAAATTTTTGTTAAGTTTTTGCTTAAAACAAGCACAAATATCTGCCAATGGGGTAAGAAAAATAATCTTAATTCAAAGGCTAAACTATTTTTTTTTTTACAGAAAACGAGACATAATATCTTACGTCATTTTACTTGTACAGTAAATGCATCTTGATTCAAGAATTTTTAGATATTTATACTTGTAAACAAGACAAAAATACTAAGTAAGAGAATAATGTTTTGCAGTGAAGCGTCCTATCTCAACACGGGCAGCTGAAGGTGCGGCTCGTATCCTCGTCCCAGCATGTGCTCCTTGATGCAAGGCGGGTGGATCTCGCCGATGAGGCACTCCAGAGACTGCAGGCTGCTGCTGAGGCTCTCCTCTTGCGGCCTGCAGCACAGGTACGACGGAGGCTGGTGGGCGCACGGATGGAGGCGCGTGAAAAACTGGCCAACAGAGAAATCGCCGTGCATCGTGGGGGACGTCGGGACCTTGTCTAGAATCGTTAGACTGGGAGGGTAGGATCGGTAGGAAACGTCAGGCGAGCGGTTTCCCGATCCATACATGTGCGGATAATGCGCCCAATAATAATCGGAACCAGCTACATCCGCGCTTTGAGTGGGCAGAACGGCTCCGGAATACGCCAGAGCAAAACTGGAGTCGGCGCAAGACGCGGACAAGAACGAAGGACTGGACTGGACGTTGGACGGACGGCTCATGTGATGGGACACGACGCCGTACGGCCGGTGTCTGTTCCCGCTGGGAGGCGCATACGGAGCCACCGCCATTTGGAGAGGGGATAGATTGGTTCGACAGAGAAATCACCGTGCATCGCGGGGGACGTCGGGACCTTGTCTAGAATCGTTAGACTGGGAGGGTAGGATCGGTAGGAAACGTCAGGCGAGCGGTTTCCCGATCCATACATGTGCGGATAATGCGCCCAATAATAATCGGAACCAGCTACATCCGCGCTTTGAGTGGGCAGAACGGCTCCGGAATACGCCAGAGCAAAACTGGAGTCGGCGCAAGACGCGGACAAGAACGAAGGACTGGACTGGACGTTGGACGGACGGCTCATGTGATGGGACACGACGCCGTACGGCCGGTGTCTGTTCCCGCCGGGAGGCGCATACGGAGCCACCGCCATTTGGATAGGGGATAGTTTGGTTCGTTTTCCATCGGCGCTCTTTAGCACGCCTTTGGCCGCGGAGAAAGTCTTGACGATCGCCAGCAAGCCTTGGTAGGCACCAGCGTAGGGGTGCGAGTACGGGCCGAAGCCCTGGTCGCCGGTGTCCAGGCCGTTGACGGTCCTGCTGATTTGCTTGTGCTGTGGGACCCTGATGTTGGTGGGGAAGATCTGGATTGAAAGCGGGCTGTCGACTGTTCTTTGCGCGTAGGCGTCCAGTTCGGCCGCGGATGGGTAGCGCATGGAAATCAGCTCACCTGCGGACAAAGAGAAAACAGCATGAATAATTCAACGCTGTATTATTCTCAGCAAGGCCGTACCATGTCTTGAAAATTGGGGGGGTATTTTAAATAAGGTGTAAAGAAATAGAACGGTGAAAGAAAAACTGCGTCTAGTTGTAGTTGCAGCAATTAGCAAATATTTTAAAGTATGTACACATTCACTCTTAATTTTGTGCCTAATATGTAAAAAATGCCAAACATTTCATGTCTGGTAACATTCAGTTAGGAATTACATGAATCATGTAAATGAATCATGTAAATGATGCATTTTCAATTAATAATGGAGAAATTTAAAGGGAAAAGTAGAGTAATTTGCATCATTGGAAAGTATATTTTAACATTTCTGTAGTGAAACCGTTTCAGTTTCCCTTTCTCTTTCTCTTTCAACATTAAAACTGATGCTTGAGCTTTAATTCACACACTGCGTTTGTGAACAGTAAACCCCGCCTACTTTAATTTGATTGGCCATCTCAATCATTTTGACACTGACAAATAGGCAAGTAACGATTCACTCAACTCATGATGTGATACGATTCACAATACTATTTCACGATACGATTTTCTCTATTTTTTTTTTTTTTACAAAATGAGATTTAAGACATATTATAAATGAAAAGTTCTCCTTTTATTATTGCTTGGAGTAAACCCCGCCTACTTTAATTTGATTGGCCATCTCAATCATTTTGACACTGACAAATAGGCAAGTAACGATTCACTCAACTCATGATGTGATACGATTCACAATACTATTTCACGATACGATTTTCTCTATTTTTTTTTTTTTTTACAAAATGAGATTTAAGACATATTATAAATGAAATGTTCTCCTTTTATTATTGCTTGGACAAAATGCGGAACATTTCTTTGTGAGATTGAAATATGTCAAATAACAAAACTAAACTTAAATTTTAAAACAAACCCCAAATCAAATAAATAACACAAATAAAATGAATCTGTTCATATAAACAAACTAAGGCTTTGTCTGTGCTCTTTCCATTTAAAATGAGAGGCAATCACTGCATTTTAATCATGATCCAAACAAAAATGCTGCACACATGCAGCATGAGCAGTTTCTAATCTAAATTAGATTGTATAATTCTGAAATTTGAGGCAAAAACAAAACGGTCTGACTTTAGTGTTGTGAAACTATACTACATAAAACATATCTAAATGAAACAAAAACATCAGACAAGCTGAATGAGATTCACGCAGATTCACTCTCTGCCAGCAGGTGGCGCTTGTGGAACAGCAGCGCTACAGCGTTTCCTAGGTTACCACTGTAAACAAAGCAGCCCTGCGCTTACGAACACTACAAATACATTATACAGAGGCAAAATGGAAAGAAAATATCATCTAAGCTTTTCTAAATAGTCACTTCCCCTCAGAGATACATTCATATAAACTCCTATCACCAATTGATTCATTTCAACCGATTTGAATCGTCACATATTTGTATCGATTTTCAACCGGCTCGCGGTGCATTGTTACATCCCTATTGACAAGTGCTGTCAGACGCCTTGACAAACCTAAAAATCTTTTTAAAACTTTTTGTCATCCTAACAACAAACAGAGCGCTGCATAAGAGTGCAGCAGAAATATTGGGAGGACAATTTGCCAATTCCTAATTATTGGGGGGACTTGTCTACGGTGGTTACGGCCCTGATTCTCAGCGCACACAAAGCCATGTATGCTGGCATTTCACCAAGCATCAGCGGATCATGACTAGTATCCCAAAAACTCTCTGCAGAAAACAATGATGTTTCCAATTTGAAACCGTGCTGTCCGACGGAGCGCCTCGTGCCGGAGGTGTTTGGCAATAAATATGGAAGAGTGATGAATGCTGGATGAGTTAAAAATGATCAGACGTCGCACAAGAAAAATCGTCCAATAAAAATGAAGATATTGGAGCGTCTGTGTCGCTCTCCGTCTCCTTATTTCCTCGGCTGGTTGTTCATCCTCAGACATCTGCATCTCTCTAAAAACTCATTTTGTGGAGGGAGACACCTCGGGCAATGTTTGATCAGTGCATTATGAAATTAATTTGGTCTTTCTTCAGGACAAAATTGGATTACCTTGGGAAATCAAGAGGGAAAAAATAGATGAGGAGGGGGATGGAAAGGGAGCTAATTTAGTTTCAGTGGCATGAGTGAAATTCATTTCATGGCGTTTGGATGTGCAATCCACTCAAAAGGGGCTCGGATACGGGTGGAGCTACATGCAAAATTAACATTAGAAACGATGCTATACAAGCAGCAAATTGGAAACACGGCTTTATACGTGTTTGTGCATATGTGTGCTGCTCGAATGCATCTCGAATGGATCCCTGGACTATAATAAGGACAGGATTCCCATAGACAGCATCTTATCGCCACAATAAATGCAAGCCAATATCACTGGCAGCCAATTTTGAGATTTCTACATATGCAGTAGCTTTCAAATGAAAACGGGACCTAAAGCCAGAAGTGTACGGGAAAGCGGCGACGACTAACTGAGATTGGATTTAAACATCATTATTCAGGCAATTTCATGGCTGTTTAGCGTCCCGCAACACAAGGAAGCTGGAAAAAGGTGCTCCATTTCTGAGCAGTAAATCTACTGGCGGAAAATACGGCCGGAATGACACCTTTATGGAATTTCTGACATGAAAATAAAAGTGCTGAAATTAAGGCAGATTACGCCACAGTCAATCAAAATCACTCCACGGCGGACAATTGAAGGATCTCTACCAGAAAAACACAATCCAATTGGCTTCGAGTCCCAGCAGTCGTTTAGAGCGTCTCCTCAGTCACGCGATGCCAAGCTAGCGTTGTTCCCGTTCGGGATTGATTTGGGACTTCATTTCATTCCAGGCCCACAATGAGCCTCCAACTGTGAAAATGATTCAATCTACAAGATCCATCTCATAAAGGAAATAAATTGAGTGTTTAAAATGAAGGGAAGAGGAGAGGTGGAGAGGCCCGCTGAGCCCACCGGGGTCACCAAACACAATGAAGCTCCAGAAACACTCACATGGACTGGGGGAATCTGACTTCAAGAGAAAAAAAATCAATCAAAACGAGATGGTAGAAAGGAACATGTTTGAAATTTAAGGCGAAAGCGTTCAAAGTGCTTGGGTTTCAGCATTTCGAGAGTGGCCAATCTATGAAAATATTTCATATAGTTATATTTATGGTTGTATTTATAGTTATCAGTATAGTTATTTTATATTAATAGTTATGTTAGTATTTATAGTTATCGGTATAGTTATTTTATATTATTAGTTATGCTTGCATTTATAGTTATCTGTATAGTTATGGTTGTATTCATAGCAATCATTATAGTCATTTTATAGTTATATTTATGGTTGTATTTATAGTTATCAGTATAGTTATTTTATATTAATAGTTATGTTAGTATTTATAGTTATCGGTATAGTTATTTTATATTATTATGCTTGTATTTATAGTTATCTGTATAGTTATGGTTGTATTCATAGTTATCATTATAGTTATTTTATAATCATAGTTATGATTGTAGTTACAGTTATCGGTATAGTTATGATTCTATTTTTTATCAGTATAGTTATGGTTGTAGTTACAGTTATCGTTAGAGGTATGGTTGTATTCATAGTTATAGTTGTTTTATAAATGTTATATTTATTGAAATAGTTGTATTTATAGTTGTTTTTTAAATTATCGGTATAGTTATGGCTATATCTATAGTTATCGGTATATAATTATATTCATAGTTATCGTTATAGTTATGTTATATTTATAGTTATTGTTATGTTTACAAATATGGTTGGTATGGTTATGGTTGTATTTATAGTTATGTTTTTGTAGTTACAGTTATCACTACAGTTATCGTTATAGTTATTGTTATGTTTACAAATATCGGTATGGTTTTTCAAGAAAAAAAAAATCCATCAAAACGAGATGGTAGAAAGGAACACGTTTGAAATTTCGAGAGTGGCCAGTCTATGAAAATACTATGAACCAGTTGGTCTGACCAATCATCACGTATTACAGACCCATGAAATGACTTCCTTGTGTTAACGTAGCATCAAAACATGAATTTCACTCTTAGAAAACATGCAAAAATTTTACTTTTAGGTGTACAACAGCTTAATCACTAGGGCAGTATCTTCAAAGGGACATCTTTGTATGCTATTTACGCCCTAAAAGGTGCATATTACTACTCGAAACTCTTGAAAATAAAGGTCATTTATTGTCATTGATGGTTCCATGAAGAACTGTTAACATCCATGGAACTTTTCCAATGCACAAAAGGTTCTTTATAGTGGAAAAAAGGTTCTTTAGATTATGAAAATATTCTTCACATCAAGAAAATAATGGTTCTTTTAAGACCTGTTCACTGAAAGGTTCTTTGTGGAACCCAAAATGGTTTTTCTATGGCATCACTGTGTAAACAACACCCTTTTGGAACCTTTATTTTTAAGAGAGTAGAAGAACTTTTTGAGCAATTTTTATTCTTTAGTTCTTCAGAAACCATCTGTGAACAGTTCACCAGAAACCAATATGCTGAACCTTAGAGAGCCAAAAACTGTTCTTGATCAACAAGAACAACCAAAAGAATGTTTAATTCCATAGGAGAACCTTTTTAGGTTCTACAATCAATTTTTATTCATTATTATTTAGAAAAAAACATCTACATACTGGTATTTTTAGGCCCAGAAATCAAAATACAGATCTGAAGAACCAACAAAGGCAAAGAACCATAAAGCAACTCAAGAACCCTAGATATGCTAAATTGGATCTTAAACAACAATAACCTACATTGAAATATCAAGAGTTTGTATGAACAATCTCTGAACAATCATACACTCATAAAAACAATATGTACAAAATACATAAAAACAAAGGCTTCAAAATGGGGTTTTCACATGCACAGAAAAAGCCATTTTGGGTTCCACAAACATTTTCTTAAAAAGAACCATTTTTCTTTGTGAGAAAAGCATATTGATAATCCAAAGAACC